GGGGGGGGGGCTGATGGCCTTGTGAGCATCACCGAGCAGCGCATCGGGAATCCGTAAATCAGCACAGCGTCGAGTCGCAGACCGACCGGCGGAGAGCGGGGGCAACACTGTTGTGTGTATCCGGTTCCGCTTTATTTCGGTAACGGATATACATATGCTGAACAGTCGGTCGTCCGGAGGTAATCCCGCCCCGCCGCGTCGCGGGCGACGACGTCGACGGGCCGAGTCGGGGGGGGGGGGGGGGAGAGGGGTGCGGCTGGGTCGACGTGAATATCATGATTGCCTGCCTCAAAGGATGAGTGACACCCGCATGCTGCACCGTGGGACGTTCGGTCCATTGAGAATTCCACCCGGCCTGGTCTGGTACACAGCCAATAAGCTCCAACAGCCCTTTGCAACCCGACGCTGCGCCCTGCACGCAGGATGCAATGATGTTGGCAGTGCATCGGCAAGGCGCTTCTGTTCTGTGGTTCCAAGTGCTTGAGGCATGGCATGGCGTCGCGTGGCGGCAAACATACAGTCGCCTCGCAATGCGGAGTAACCTGGCGGAGCAATAGCCATACGCAGAAATTTCTATTTAAATGTCAAAACGTATTTGTCTTGTAACAGCAGTCATCCCGTGCTCAACAATAAAGTTTTGTTCATTATTGAGAATTCAGTTAACAGCCATGCGTTTGTTAAATTGGAAGATATCCCATCACGATGGAAGGGACTATTTTCTTAACGCGCAATGTTCAAGGTACTCCTTAGAGCGAGGCGACTGTAAGCTGTAAGCGGCCCAATCGGCGTCCGCCGCGCGGATCACTTCGACAGTGAGCCGGAGAGAGATGACTGCAGTTGGCGTCGTTTGTGAATCTAATTTTTAGTTTAAGTCGTTTTCAAACAATGAGGAAGCTTCTTGAAAAGAGGAGCAAGAAGAACGTATCCCTGAGGAGGTGGCGTAGCACCGTCCCACCGTCCCTAAACAAAGTAGAGGATGAGCCGGATAAGCGACAGCCTAGCAGAGGTTAGATTTTGGCGCGCGATGATGTGAGATCATAATCTAAGTTTTTCACAATTTGTAGAAAGCAAATTGGGTCTAGATTTCATTGGAGTAGCGTTCTTGGGTCAATAAGTGATTCTGTAAAGTTTTGCTTCGGAAAAGTAAGTTTACACAATCTTCCAATCCGTGCCGGTGTTGTTGTCTAGGTTAGTGTACGGACTTATTGCATTGGTACAATTTTAACTCAGTGCTAATCACACAACTGTTGTATAGTAAACCTTGCCAAAGATGGTACCAAGGTGCTAGAAGCATGGATGCCGGCCTGGTAAACAGTTCAAAATCTAATTTGTGCAACATAACCTCTTCTTGGCTGTCGCTCATCTTCTACTTTGTTTAGGAATGGCGCAACGCTACGCCACGCCACCTCCTTAGGGCTACCTTCTTCTTGTTCCTCTTATCAGCAGCTTCCTCATTTTTCTTTTGTCTATATAGCTTCTAGAGTGGATCTGTTTTTCTGTCCCAGGTGGCGCGGCTCGGCTATGCGCACTCGCCGACCCCGCGCCCGCCAGGTCCATCTAGACCATGATGGACACGGCCGTACAGCCCGCCTGGGGTCGCGGGCCGCCCTCCAAGCCGCCCGGTCCGGGCCCCGGCGCAGTGTTCCGACGTCCGCCGGGGACGGGCGGAGGCCGCCTCCTCAACGGCGGCGCCCGCGTGTCCCCGGGCCGGCGGCTGTCGGCGGCCGCTTCGCTGCCCCTGCTGCTACAGGACCCAGATGAGGAGGAGGACGAGGCGCCGAGCCTCAACAACATCCTGGACGCCGTGCCCGGGCTCGAGGTACCCGACGATGAGGTGGCGCCGTCCCCGCGGCCCCGCCGGCCGCCCACGCCCCCGCCGCGCACGACCCCGCTGCGGACGGCCACCCCGACGTCGTCCCCGCCACCCACGCCCACCTACTGCAGCGACCTGTACTACTGCAAGCCCTGGCCGGCGGCGCTCGGCGAGCGGCCCGAGCTGCGCAGGACGTCCCCCCGCCAGCCCCGGCCCGAGCCCCGGCTGGACCCCCTGCCGCCGCCCCCGCGGCTGCCCGACCACTTCGACGAGAAGCAGTACCTGGCCAACAGGCAGCTGCGCCGGCGCTCGCACCACCAGCTGGAGGACGGCTGCCCGCTGCAGCAGTGGAGCAGCTTCCTGGACAAGCAGCCCCCGCCGCCGCCGCCGCGCGCACAGGCCCGCCGCGGCCGCGTGCCGCCCGCGCGCAGCCAGAGCCTGAGGACGCCGCGGCCGCCGCCGTACATCCTGCGACAGGTGAGCATAGTGAGCACCGCGCCAAGACGAGACGAAAATTACAGTCTGTCTGAAGGATGTGAACGCGACAGATCGTCCTTCTTTTGTCTCGGCCCCTTGTCCCTTTGGGCCGTCACTTAACGCCCCCCCCCCCCAACACCTCTCCCGGTCGCGCATGATAATGTGGGAATCTCGCGCTGCGCGATCAAACACAAATGTCTCCCATCATTGTGACGCTAAGTCCGTGTTTGCTTAATGCCATGCCTTGCCTCGAAGGCGAGGCAAACTTGGTAGACGTACCTCCTCGCTCGCTGGATGTAGAGCAAGCACGAGCGGGGGAGGGGAAGGGGTCCTGGGCCTGGGTGCTCCCGGAGCGCTGGCAGTCGACCGCTTTCCCGACGACGTTAGAAGCACCTGTGGCCCCCCTCCCCCTGTCCCGACGTCTGGATGCGAACCTCTTGAGAACGCGATCTTATTTCGCGAGTCTTCCTTTTCTTTCCGCCAGCCCTCTCGCCTGCTCCTCCAGGCGACGCCTTCTAAATTTAGCCCCTCCTGGAAGAGGTTGGCTTAGGAAGCCATTTGGCGGCCCCCCCGATATTGGCGAGATATTCCGCTGCTATGATTGGGATTGGTTAGGTTTTCTCAAGCCCAGCGCCTTAACTCCTGTGCCTTACTCCTACTGCTGGTTCTCAGTGCACATCTTCCCTCCGCTGCGGCCTGGCCTGGCCCTGGCCGCCTGGCGGGCGACTTGCCAGGAAGATGTGGAAAAGGGGGGGATTTGGGGG